TTAAGCCTTGGACAACTTAGGTACATAGTTCCTATCTCAACTGAGTCTGAGTCAGGTATTGAGTCAGGTACTGAGTCCCTGTCTCAACATTTAAAATAAAGGGTAGGGAGTTACAGATGATCTCAATGGAAAAGCCTTGGGCTCAATCATGAGTACTAGAAAAAAAAAAGAATACAAAAAGGTTTAGTTACTAAGTATTCAAAATCTAGTGTGTATTTCACAATGATAATACATTGTAGCTTGGAGTAGCCCCATAGCAAGTGCTTAGTGGTCACCTGTGACTAGGGGCTACTATACTTAACAGCTCCACTCTAGAGAGACCAGCATAGAGAGAAAGCCTGGCTTCCATTTTTTTAAAGCTTACCCTGGGTTTATTTTGATTGACTGCATTGGGCTAAAGCTCTCCGTTTCTTCAATGGAGCACTGTAGGGAGTGTATCTATATGTGACATAGGCTTTTATGTGAGGGTGTCAGCCTTCACACTACACAGTGCTATGGTTATAAAAATCCTGGAGGAAAGTTGTACATTTTTTTTTGTTCTGACTTTCTTGCCTTTACAAATCACGTAGCTAATTTCATTTTCCATTTTTCTTTGATTACAAAAATACAGAGTCAATTATGAAGCCTGCAAATAACTCCTCAAATGGGTTTAGTTTATTAACATCTTGTAAAATGCTAGTATTACACAGAAGGTATGATGTGAAATGTGTTGTCGCAGCTGATAGAACAACCACATGTCACATCCAAATGATTGCTAGTAATTATTTTTCATGAAGTGATAGAGTCAGGAATTGTAGATAAACAAGAGTGTAGCAATGGGAAGAACAAAGGCTCTGTTTAAAGACATATTGCATGGTTCATTTATCTGGATTTAATGGAGATGATGGTGATGGCCCCAGACTTTGCCTCTGTCTAGGCAGTAGAGGCCAAAAAGACTGGGAACTGAACCCTAACAGCAGCTCTAGAGGCTGACTTTAGGTGTGCTCAGCACCAGCTACTGCAGTATTACCACGAAAGTCTGTACTTCTCTGGTGAGATTCCTGAGGCAGGTCTGGAGCTCCCTGCAGCCTCAAGCCAACACAGACATGTGGGTGCTCTTACAGGTCTTTGAAAAAGTGAAAAAGGACAACATCTTTTAACTATGGATCACCCAGCCAGTGGGCAGATGAAGGGCACAGGTAACTGTTGGCATTGTGAATTACAGGAAGCATCCATCACAGACCTCTCCAAGGCACAAATGTTACCTTGGCCAACAGCTTTCAGAGAGCACACCCTCCTTCCAGCAACAGGCCTGTTCCACCTTGTTACATCTTGTCCTGTCCTGTGCTGGCAAACCCATGGCCTGCAGGCTCCTTCACCACCCTAAGTGGAGATACAGTGCCTTTGCCCCCATCATCCCAGCTCAACACTTTTCCTGCCAAACATCTCTTGGAGGCAGTGGGAGGCCGGCACTGGAAGGGTAAGTGGCTTGGGGCCAATCTGAGTGGGGTCCAGTCCCACACTGGAAGGGAAGATGCAGATGGTTGTTCCTGGCTGTGCTGGGCAACCCCACCAGGTTGAATCACTGTGCTGCAGGTGTTGGGCCTCATCCTGCCCACCTGGGGGGTGCACAGGTGGTCACCGCTGACCTCAAAGGTCTCTCTTCCCCTCGCTGCCTGCAAAGCCAGAGCAGAGGGTGTGAGGTGTGGGAGGGAACTGGTGGCCACCATGGAAGAAACCAGACAAACTGAAGCACATGATGGCCTCAGGATTCTGAAGGAAGTGTACTGAAGCAGTGGTGAGAAAAACTCAAACATACAAGCATTATTATAATTAATTTATCTGATTTTCTGTTTGAAGCATCTGAGGACATTGATATTAACTTGCTATTATTTAAATGCTTGTAAAGTTGTTCTGCAAATAGAGTTTCACATTTTGTGCATGCACACATGTATATGCACAATTTGGAATAGAAAAAAATAAATTAATGGAAGCATTCATCATTTGATCTACCTAAATAAAAATTTCTGCTTTCCTAATCATCTTATTCCATCTTGGCTGCTATAACAAAATGTCATAAACTAGGTGGCTTGTAAACAGCGGAACTTTTTTCTTGTAGTTGCTCAGGCTGGGAGTGGGCAGATTTGGTGTCTGATGAGGGTGCCTTTTGGATGACATCTTCTCACATGGAAGAAGGGGATAGTTAGCTCCAAGAGGTTTTGTTTGTAAGGACATTAATTTCAAGCATCTCCCAAAGCTCTAATTTCCCTGTATCAGTACCTTGGGAATTAGGATTTCAGTGAATTTGAGGAGAACACCAACATTCAGCATGCAGTCATGTAAAAAAGAAAATCCCTAAAGATTTGTGGCAACTACCTTCATGAAATCACCATCTTTAAATAAAATTCTCTTAAAATTATCGCACTCATGACTCATCTAATTATAGGGATAGGTTCTGAACAATGCATCCTTGGGCAATTTCACTGTGCAAACATCAGTGTGTGCTCTCAGAAACCTAGTTTAGCATACTATGCCATATGGCATAGCCTATTGCTCCTAGGCTGCAAACCTGTACTGCGGGTAACTGTACTGAATACCACAGGCAAGTGTAGCATAATGATATTGTGCACCTAAACATTGAAAAGTCATAGTTATAAGTACCCTGTATAAGGTACTTACTGTAAATGGAGCTAACAGAGCTAGACACTGCTATGAGTCAATAAGAAGCAGTGAGTGAAAGTGAAGGCCATAATATACTACTGTAGACTGTATAAACTCTGTGCCCTTGGGCTACATTAAGTTTATAAACAACATTTTTCTTTCTCTAAAACGAAATTCACCTTAGTTTATTGTTGATTTTTCTTCTTTTCAGAGAGGGTCTCTGTGTATTCTGGGCAGGCTTTGAACTCACTGCATACCCCAGGCTTGCCTTAAACTCTCAGTGATCCTCCTGCCTCAGCCTCCAAAGTGATGGGATTACAAACATGCACCACTATGCCCAGTTTATTACTTTTTATTTTTATAAACTTAAAAATTTTTTCCTCATTTTTCCCCTTGTTCCTGCTCTCCCTTTACCCCCTCCTCCCCTCCCCATTTACAAACACTTTATTTCCATTTTTTCATTTTCTCATATTTTTTCCCTTATTACCTTTCCCCTACCTTTCCCACTTTCCCTAAACCTTTAGACCTTTTCTTCCCATTTCACATTGTCAATTATCTCATTGGGATCTTATTTACTATTACAGTTTATTCACACCCAAGAAACTATTTGGTATTTACACATGTGTGACTTATTTATTTCACTTAGGAGTATATCCTCAATATGTATCCATTTTCCTATGAATGAATCTAATTTCTCATTCTTTATGGCTGAGTAGTATTCCATTTCATAGAAAAACCACATCTTCTTTATCCAGATGTCAACTGATGGCAAATGAGCTGGCAAAGAAACAGACCTGAGGATCAGTGGAACAGATTGGAAGATACAAAAACATCTCCAGATGTACTCAGCTACCTCATCTTTGACAAAGGAGCTGACCATCCTCACTGGAGGCAAGATAGTCTCTTTAATAAATGGTGTTGGAAAAACTGGATTTCACCCTGCCAAAGATTAAAACTAGACCTTTATCTTTCACCATGCACTAAACTAAAATTCAAGTGGATTAAAGATTTAAATATTAAAACAGAAACATTAAACTTGCTGGAAGATAAGTTAGGCAGAACTCTTGAAGACATTGACAAAGGAAAAGACTTTATAAACAAATCCTCAGTAGCATGGAAACAGCAGAAAAAATCTCATCTTATTAAAAAGCTTCTCCACTGCAAAAGAAACCATCAATAGAACTAAGAAACAAAACTTTTTATTTAAATAGTTTTAAATTTTTAAACTTTTTTGTTTCAAACTAAGCCACAAACATACACATTAGCCTAGGCCTATCCACAATCAGGATTCTTGAGATCATTGCCTTCTTTTGAGAACAGTTTTTCTTCTTGAGCACTTTTGTTTCTTTTGCTTTAAATAAACATTAAACTTTTATCTTCAATTGTTCTGTCCAATTCTTTGAACAGACAGTAAGAGCTTGGATAGGACTAACTGGTCACTATAATCCCAGTAATAGATTTGGCGAGCCAGCCAAGAGATAACAAATGCAGCTAGAAAGAGGTAAAGCCCTTTTGGGCACGTTTCTCTCTCTTTGATGTGTATGGACTAAGGACTGCTTTAGTCCACCTCCGTATCCTCTTCTTGTCCCTTCTCTCCCAGAACAAGTGTAGGGAGGTCTGACAGTTAGAGGTTGGTAAAAATTAGTGGAACCTGGGGACCCCTCCCAGTTCCAACTGCAGCTACTAGAGGAGAGCCCTTGACCCTCATGTGGCAGTCAGCTCAACTTGGGTCTTATTAGAGCCAGGCCAAGCGAGTGAGTGCATCACTGGCCTGGGAAACAGCTCACCCTGGAATGAGCTGCCCTGAGAACCTCACAAAAGGCAGTCCCTTTAAGGTCTGCTCTTCACTGCTGCACATCCATGATGTCAGGGAGAGCACTGACACCCTTGGGAAGGAAGGGTATATTTTATTTACTTGCTAAAGATTCTGTGAGACCCTGAATTTAGAAATATCTACCACAGTTAAATATTGACTGCTTAGATTAAGTGAAAAAGATTTAGGAGTTAAAATAAGTATTTAATTCAGATATTTTTGAGCTTTAAAGTTTAACTTGTAAGAGCTAGGTATTTAGCTCAGTGGTGGTGCTGCCTGCCTTGCAAGAGCAAGGTCCAGAGTTCATCCCTGATACAAAAAAAAAGTGTAACTTGTTGCATATACTAAAATTAAATAACTACAGTTGTTTTCCATTGAAATGTCATCTTATAATAAATTAGCTGTAGATAGCCAGGTAGTTCTGAGGAAGTAAAAATTAATTCTGTCTTGAATAGTGCATGATGAAAGATTTCCCATGTTTCTATGAGAGTAATATAATTACTTTAATTGTTAAGCATAAGCAAACATGATATAAGGATACAGTGGTGTGCTTACTTTGGCAGCACATATACTAAAATTGGAACGATACAGAGAATAGCATGGCCCCTATGCAAGGATTCATGCAAATTCATGTAGCGTTCCACATTTTTAAAAAAAAGGATACAGTGGTTAAACTCATGGCTGCTGTAAGCCTTTTCACCAGCCCAACCTCACTCTGAAAGGTGTACTTCTTTCCTTACTTTAATTGGTCCACACTCACTCTGTAGAACACTTTTTTCAGAGCACTTTTTCTTCTTAAGCACTTCTTTCGCTCTTCTTTTCTTGCCTTACATAAATGTTAAACTTTCGCTTTCCTCAAGGGTTCTGCCCAGGTTTTTTTTTTTTTGTTCTTTTGTTTTTTTGTTTATTTTGGTACCAGGGATTAAACTCAGGACCTTGTGCTTGGGAAGCAGGTGGTGGAACCACTGAGCTAAATCCCCAGCACATGCCCAGTTGTTAAAATGGAACAGTAAAAGCCCAGAAAGGACTGACTGGTCACTGCAATACCCAATAACACTTAAACACCTTTAGCCCCAGTTAGCTCATCTGAACCTTGATCTGTTATGACTTCTCTCACAAGTCATGAGAATTGAACAGGTGCATGAAAGATAAAGATAACTTTCCAAGAAGGAGATTAGAAGTAGGAAAACGAAGAATGCTTTACTTTAAAATTAAACTGGGCCGGGGATTTAGCTCAGCGGTTCGGTGGCCTGCCTTGCAAGCACAAGGACCTGAGTTCAATCCCTGGTACCAAAAACAACAACAACAACAACAACAACAACAAAAACTATCTGTACCCCAAGACAGCCTTAAATTTGTGCAAGAGGAGACCTTGTTACACATGCACCATGCTTTAGAGAAAGGATTGGTAAATTCTTCTATAAGAGCCAGGTAGGAGATATTTTAGACTTTGTGATCCATAATATGCCTGTTTCAACTCCTCAACTCTACCATTATAGAGAAAAAATAGCCACAGACAGTATGTAAATAAATTGGGGGTGGCTGTGTTCCAATAATATTTTATTTACAAAATAGGCAATATACTATGTTTAACCCATGGATCACAGGTTGTTGACCCTATTTTAGAGGGTTTCACTCAAGTATTGTTCCAGCTGCACCTCTTTCCCTGAGATGAGAGTCAGTGAGGCTGTGGGCACATCTTTCTGGATCTCACCTGCTTCCCCTTCTAAGCATTATTCAGGTACTCAGGATTCCTGTCCCAATAACCCATACAGCCTGTGTCTACTTCCAAGGCCTGCACAGGCCTTTTTCCAGGGCCCATCATCATGGAGGATGGACCACATGCTGTTGTGCACATGCCTAGCCCAAAGGAGGTTCTGTGTGTGTGTGTGTGTGTCTATGTTGGGGATGAGGGTGAGGTGTAGATGAAGCTTGTGTGCAAAACTTGAGATGTCCACAAGTATGCACACGAAGCCTTAGCTTTGTGAGATGGAGCAGTAGGTGGGAAGACAAGGTGGATGTCCATGACTTAGAACCAGCAGCAGTGCTGCTGTAATCTGGCTTGGAACTCTGAGGATCTGAGAATTTTAAATTCAAACTTGATTCGGGTTGTCTTGAAATTGTACTTGCTCATGAGTTATATTATGAGAGTGTTAAACTCATTTTTGTATTTAACCATATGATAGGCAGAACTCCATTTGTATTCTAACCCCAGGCTCCACAAACAGTGGGATAGGTTAGCCAAACTTCACAGCATCAAATGAGGCCACACTTGGTGAAGTGGGACAATTTTTTTATTGTGCTACAAGGCAAAAACAACTTCAGGAAAACAAATGTAGGCCCAATCCAAGGTCTGAGATAAAGTTGGGAAATAATTTTCAAGGTCTGAGATAAAGTCAGGAAAGGTTTGAAAGAGAGATCTGGAGGCCAGCGTACTGAGGGGAATCCCATGGGAGAAGTTCTCATAGAGGAAGAATACAGCAAAAAACAATGTCACTTTGCCCAGTATGTTTTAAGTTAATCCTGGATATTTAGAAAAGATTTCAAAGCCCAATTCAGTAACCCGGGGCCTAAATCAAATCACTGAACCGTGAATGCTCAGAGCTCAAAGGTTGCTACACATTAATCCAGACAGAATATTTTAAACCTTATTTGCATCCTTTCCACATCTCATGCCTGAATCACAGGTACTCACAGGTATGGTATGGGTCATTACTAGACTTGAGCTACAAAAGACACCGGAGCCTGTCCTGAATCTGAGACCCAGAAGCTTCGACCTTTCAATATAGAGTATTGATGCTTTTTACCATACATTCACATTCCCCACTTAAAGAAGCATCTCTCTGTCCCCAAGCCTTCTCCCCATCTACCTTTGTTTCCATATTTTTCATACCATCATCGCTCACCCACTGGCTTCTCTTGACTACATAAGGAGCCTTGTGATCTTGGCTTCTTGTAAGAATCTGACACATTTGATCTTCTTGAAACACTCGCTCCATTGCACTTTGGCGCAGAATTGTATGAGTTCCTTCTGCCCTTCTTGTGGTTCCTTGTTGGCTTCTTTAATGGGCTCCTCTTTGTACAACCCTATATGCAGGAGGCCCTTGGGTTTTGTTGTGGGCTCTATTCATTTTTCACTGTATGCTTTATCTTCAAATATCATTTTTATGCTGGTGATTTTCAAAACCATACTTCTGTAATGCAAACTGACCTCCTGTAATCCAAATCCACATATTTAGCCACTAAGCCATTATAGGCTCCTCAAATTCAGAATGTCTCACAATCAGGACCAATAGCACTTTACTCCTTCTTTTCTCTTCCCTATCTCAGAAAACAGCATTGCTATCTACTTACTTGCCTAAGTCAAGAACTGGAACGTTAAAATTCCCAAACTCTCCTCTGTCTACCCCTATTCCTGGCTAGCTCCATCCCCTCTTTAGAGTTCATCTCATTTCACTTCCTCTAGGAAGCACTCCCGGATTCCCTCCTCAAGTCAGTGTTATAAGTTCCTCTTAAGTGTTCTGATAGGACCCTGTATTTCCCTTTTTATAACACTCAGTATGCTTTATTACTGTCAGATGGAAGCTGGAACTCCTTCCCATGTATGGCAGCAACTGAGGGTACAGGAAGTTTCCAGGTACTTTGTAATAGGCCAGGACACCAGAAGACTTGGTGATGGGGCCAGCAGCTCCAGGAGCAGAAGCAGGGGCCCCTATGGCAGTGTCTGCAGAGGTCAGTGTACAAGGATGTCCATACTTGGGGATGCCCATAGCCACCTTCTTTGCAGGCATTCTCTAATAGATCTAGTACCCCACAGCATATTCCTAGAAAGGAAAGAAAGACTGAGGACCAAGGTATAGGGGGAAAACGATGTCAGGCCTTCCTCAGCCTCCAAGCCTAAGTTTATACAGATGACTCCTTGATGTCTTTTCTACATTTGCACGTGGACAGTCTCACCAATACCAGAGTGTGTGTTCTAATGCACTTAATGCTCTTCAGCAATAAGAGATTCATTCAGCCTTTTTTAAGTTGTAAAAGAAAACTGCGTAGTGAATCACAAAGGAAGTTGGCTAAAGGGCCTAGAAAACATGAAATCAGGGTTTTCACCATATTTCTTTCCCCTCTGAGTCAACTGCTTATGGAATGTGCCTACATGATGGTGAATCATACGTACCAACAAAGGTGGCTATCAGACTCCTGGTCTGCTAAGCCTCACATTAACCTTGAACCCATGAGCATACTTTGAGAAGTAAGTGGTAGTTTTGAGATTTTTTAGCTTTCAGAACAAAATAAGGGATGAGAGAGATGAGGGGAAGTCTCCCCATCCTTAAAGATAGCAAATAGAAAGGAAGGAGTGAAGGAGCGAAGGCTTGGCCATATGGAATCCTAGGAAACCCTGAATTAGAAATCAATTTGCTTTGGAATTGACTGGCTTCGTAACCTTATTTTTATTTATTTACTTTTGATGCTGTAGATTGTACCGAGGGCTTCAGGCATGCTCAATTTGCACTCTACCACTGAGCTACGCCTCCAGCCCCAGTTTTGTAACTTTAAATGTGAGTTCCTGGAAATGTGCAAGACGGAAAATACTTCTTTTGTTTTGAGACAGGGTCTCACTATGTAGTTGAGACTGACCTGGAACTCACTGTGTAGCCCAGGATGGTCTTGAACTCACAGCAATTCTCCTGCCTCAGCCTCCCAAGTGCTGGGATGACAGGTGTGCGCCACCATGCCTGGCTAGAAAATACTTCTTTCTTTCAAAATTTTAGTAGCACCCATCCACATGCATGTACCAGAACCACCTCCACCACACACTGCTATTTTTTTTCTTAGACTTTCTACTTTGCACCATTTTCAGGACTTTCACATCAGCATGAATTTAAGCAGTCATTGACTCTGCTGGGCTTCTGTTTCTAAACTTGTAGACTGGTAGCAATGTCTTTTGCGCAGTTAATGTCAGGGTGATCTGGAAGATTAAATTAAGTAGAGAATATGGAGAGACACAGGATGGTGCAGATTCTGTACTTCTGTGTAGGTACCTGGAAATGTACCAAAGATAGAGAATCCAGAGACATCTGGGACGGATGACACTCTGAAACAGGGCTGAGGACATTTCAACAGCCAAGTTTTCTGACATTTTTCTGGTGACATTTTACTGGGGCCTGAGCAAAGTGTTTCTGCTGTACTCACTGGCTCCCAAGGTTACGCATGTCCCTTTTAGGCATACAGCTTCATTCAAGACGGAATGAATTCTAGATAGACTATGTGCTGTCTTCAGCACCTTCCCAGCAGCCAGCGGCCCTCTGTTTCCTCTCTACCACTCGCCACATTGTGATAGGAGCTCATCTTTATTCTCTCTTCTGCTGCCCATTTCTCAGAGGGCTGTTTTGCCCAGTGACAAGGGGCTTTCCCAAAACACAAGGAAGTTAAAAGATGGGAGGTTGATGAAATCCAGATTTCTAAAATGTCAGAAGCAAAGGAAGAGATTCTATGAGGACTGGGGCAAATACAGTTGTCAAAATTTTGTGCTTTGAGTGTTTTTAGAAAGATGGATAGAGCCAGGGGTTTGCCTCCTTGGTTCCACCACCTGCCTTATAAGCACAAGGGCCCAAGTTCCATCCCCGGTACAAAAAAAAAAAAAAAAAAAAAA